CACCATGTGCTACAACAGCACCTGATTCACCGTGTGCTACAGCGGCACCTGATTCACCATGTGCTACAACAGCACCTGATTCACCGTGTGCTACAACAGCACCTGATTCACCGTGTGCCACAGCGGCACCTGATTCACCATGTGCTACAGCGGCACCTGATTCACCGTGTGCCACAGTGGCAACTCATCAGGCAGGGCTTCACCGTGTGCCACACCGACTGGCTTGCTGTGAGTGGGAACCAGCTGGATGGCACTTAACAACAATAAACCACAGAGAGGTCAATTGTTTTAAAAACAGGCCACCCTCAAAGCTACTATGTGGCAAAAAAGAAGTTCAGAGCCAGGTCAGGTGTCCTCTTGTTTCTCTCTCTTTTTTTAATAAATCATTTTATTGGGGGTTCATACAACTCTCACCACAATCCATCCATCCATCCATTGCGTCAAGCACATTTGTACATTTGCTGCCATCATCATTTTCAAAACATTTTCTTTCTACTTGAGCCCTTGGTATCAGATCTTTTTTCCCCTCACTCCCCTATCCTCCCTCACACTGACCCTCAATAATTTAAGAATTATTACTATTTTTTCATGTCTCACACTGACTGATTTCTCCCTACGGCTCCCTGGTCACAGGGCTCTGAATTCGGGATTGAAACGGGCAAAGCTGGCTTGGCTTGGCTGGCTAGAACTTCTGACATGGGAATTCAGAAAACCTTCTCACACAGAAACCACCGACCAGCCTCCAAGGAAGACATATTTAGACACCTTTGGAACGTTTGCCAAACGCTGGGTGCCACAAGCAATTGCAAAACAAAACCAAAACTCTGGCTGTCTGGTCTAAGCAATACAAATTACAAATATGAATACTGAAGTCCATGATTAAGATTTAATAGAAGAATGTGGGGGTTGGCTGCGGTGGGGTTGAAAGGATCAGGCTCCTCCTGTCAGGCCCTGAGACCTGGGGCTACAGGAGGTCCGAAGCAGAAGGGCCCTCACATGTGTTGCTGAGCAAACTCCTCCATTGGACGACAGGGTCACACCTGGGACGGCGGCCCAGACCACCTAATTTTCTTCAGTTGAGTGGGGGTACAGCTAAAGCTGAAGGTGACCCAGACGGGAAGACAGTCTGACGACGGGTAACATGGGAGTCTATCCCCAAGCGATCCCGGTGCCACCGACACCCAGTCGATTCTGACTCATCGTGACCTCGGTACAGCAGATCGAGACTCTGCCCGGCCCTGCACCGTCCTCACACTTGTTCTGATGTTTGAGTGCGTTGCTGCAGCATCCCTTTCTCTGCCCTTCTCTTTACCACGGCCCAAGTGTGGGCCACGAGGTCTCGCCAGCCGAGCTTCTAAGGAGCATGCTGGCTGCACTTCTTCCAAGGCACAGCGGGTGGTTCTCTTTGCAGTGCCTGGTCCCGTCGATATTCTTCTTCCACACCATCGTTCAAATGCGAGTGTTCTGAGACAGTTAGCCAGGGCCTTAGCAGAGAAAGTGCCAGGACAGAAGAGGGAGTCCTTCCTTCTCCGCCATGACAACGCTCCTGCTCATTCTCCCACCAGACCAGGGTGATTTTGTGAGCTTGGATGGAAAATCACTAGGCATCCACCTTACATTCTGATTTGGACCTAAAGGGAAGGTGACCAGATTTTAACATTGGTAAAGTGGGACACCATTGATAAAACTCATCTCCTGGCGAAATAGCCACACGGCAGCCGAAAACCGTATACCCTAGTTTGTTGTACATTCTTTCCAAAAATCGGGACTTTTTTAAAGCACCGCGGGACGCAGGAAAAAATTGTTAAAAATCGGGACTGGACCGCCAAAAGCGGGATGTCTAGTCACCTTACCTGAAGGGTACCCAGTTTTTTCTTCAGTTTATAAGGTAAAAAAGACTCCATTGATCTGGTTAAAGTCCCATGACTCTCAATTCTTTAAGGATGGCTTGAATCACTGCTTACAAAAGTTTCTTGCCTTCGATGGAGCTCAAATTGAGAAATAGAGCTTATAGTTTAAAATGTTACTTCCATTTTCCCATAGCCCCTCATATTTCCCCAAGGATCTATCATGTGTGTACCCGTAAAGAGGTGGTGGGGGTGGGGATAGGGGTGGTGGTGTCTGGACTCTGACCTCAGATGGAAGCAGTAGGAAAATCAGCACCAGCATCAGCCTTGGGCAGATCCCTGTGAGGCAGAAGTCAGACATGCCTCCGCCCCGCCAACCTTCCTATCTATTCTGACACCAACCATTCCCCCCATGGTACTCGCTACTGAGTTTGAAAATTCACTGCATGGCTACACAGTATTCACAGACAACAGTCGTGATTATGGGGCTTACTAGGGAAGTTAACAGTTTACAATTCAGGATCAGAAATGATCTTTGGTCAGGATTGTCTCTTCTTAGACATGCCTGCAGGCAGGCCTCTCTCTGGTTCATGGCCTCTCAGTCACACAGCCCCTTGGCCTTTGCCCTGCTTGGGCAATGCTACAAAGCTTTTAAAGTGATGCTGATAAGTGCCCAATGGGTACTCCACTGCACTATTACACATCAGCACTAGGTTCTAGCTTCATGGATCTGAAAATCTAGCTTCTCAATTAAGTACCTACACATGCCCTACTCCAGCAGGTGAGCCACCTGCTCGCAGGCACTCAGCTTTGCTTACTCTGAGGGGCAGGGAGTACTGCTACGTCATAGGCTCTTGGCTCTGTTGATGCTGCTCCTCTGATACTTCTTCACCACTTCTCTGATGTCATAGCTTCGGTGCTCAGGGATCTCAGGGTCCAGAGGCTTGACTTGTCTTCCTTCATGGTAGAAGGCTGCCCCCTACCTGTTTCCCATATGGCTAATCTGACACCCTTCAGGATGGCAAAGATGACCACACGCCTTGCTGAATTTCCAGATTTTTACAGTAACAGTTAACCCTGTGAACAACCACTCACAATGGAATCATATAATCCTATCAGTACCCCCAACCCGCCCCCAACCTGCTGTTACCCAGACCTCTCAGGAAAAAGTCATTCAGAGCAAGCTGGAGTCAGAGTGCGGTCAGAGAGCCTGATCACGTAAATCACGGTACCTTAATGTTTTCAACCAACAGGAGGTTTCTCAAGGACAAAATTGCTATTTCTTTGATTTCCTCAGGAGAAGATTGTGAAGCTAATATCGACTCAAACATATATTCACCTGCAGGGTCACTAGGGAGTCCCAACTGACTCGATGACAGTGAGTTTTGAGCAACTGCCTACAGAAGTTTTTGCAACAATCATCTTGCCTTGTTATGACAAACTCACGTTTTCTTGAGTTGCCAAAAATGAAAAGTCACACTGGAGTGAATCTCATCAACATTCTAGACAAATGCCATTGGGAAATAAGACACAGGACACCCTAGCTCCCGTGGGTTATAATCGACTCTAATCTTCATGTAATCGTGTCCAAATAGTGACCGGTTGCGGGGGGCTGTCTTGTACATTCCAGGATGTTTATCAGTGTTGCTAGCCTCTACCCACTAGATGCCAATGATATTCACCAGTCGTGACGACCCAAACTGGCTCTAGACACTGCGCAATATACCCAGGGCTTGGGGTGGGCCAAAGTCACCCAGTGCTGCTCTAGTACTACAAGACACCTGCAGCTCCTAAATCACAAGTACTGAGTGTCCACACCATGTCAGGTAGAGCACAGGGGCCAGGAACACTGGCATGTGTGGGACACGTGGGGTCACAGCTCACTCAGGCCTCGAACACACACACACACACACACACTAAGCTCAAACAAAACAAAACAGAATTTTCGGAATGAGGAACATATTCTGATAGAAAATGACTTTGTGGGGTGGGACGCAGTCCCTAGGTGGTACAGAATGGATTCCTCTGCTAACCGAAAGGTTGTCAGTTCACGTCTAACCACAGGCATTGCCTCGGAAGAGAGGCCTGGATGATACCTACTTCTGAATGAAAAGACAAATCGGTCACTGAAAATCCTGGGAGCACATTTCTACTCCAACACACATGACACGGAGTTGCCATAGGTGGGAATCTTGGTGATTGGTCAGATTACAGATTGGGAAGTCAGGGATGCCTCACGGAGAAAGTGCTCTGACTGGAGACCTGGGTGACGAGAAATCACCACGTGAAGACTAAGGATAGGATGTGCTGGAGGGGCAAAACCAAACCAGAATCAAGCACAGAGGCTCTAAAGGAACACGTGACAACAGAAAAGTGGGTGAAGGGAGACGTCGGACAGTGTAAGACATGACAAAATAATAATACTTTATAAATTATCAAGGGTTCATGAGGGAGGGGAAGCTGGGAGTGGGGGACGGATGAGGAGCTGATACCAAGGGCTCAAGTAGAAAGCAAATGTTTTGAGAATGATGAGGGCAAGAAATATACAAATGTGCCTGACACGATGAATGGATGTTTGGATTGTGATAAGAGTTGTACGAGCCCCCAGTAAGATAATTAAAAAAAAAAGGATTAAGTCTGTGCACCCAAACACAGAGAACAGATCAGTGTGGCCCAAGCGTGGAGCCGGGAGAATGGTCACGTGGGCTGAGAGGCAACGTGGGCCAGAGCACACAGGGCACAGAGACTGTGACGGATCCAAGATCCGGAATGCTCGATTCCTGGAAAAGTAGGCGAGTCTGTGCAGATACGGCTCTTTGTGGGTTAAGTTTTGTGGTCCCTGAGGGAAAACACATCCTTCAATGTATGCGTCCAGACGCCCCCTCCCGCGCCCCCTCCCTGCCAATTTTACAATCCCTCTTTCTAAAGACTGATTTTCCTACTTGCCATTGGTTGAATAGACCCAGAGAGGTGTGTCTCAAATCCCTACCACGGGAATCCTTGTTTTAAGCCGGGAGCCCTGCACATCCACCCCCAAGGGCACCCCCAAAGGCTCCTTACCTCGGCGCAGCGTGTGGGGGCTGGGCCCAGCAGAACTGTGAGCTGGGCTGACTGAAAGCTGGTGGGAGCCTGCAGCCGCTGGAGCCTGGTTTGGGCCAGTGCTTGTCTGACCGCTGTTCCTTCCTGCTGGGGGCGCAGCTGCAGGCACAGCATCCTTGGGTGCTGGAGGACTATCAGGGGAGGAGCGGACATGAAAGCCATGTTAAAATCAGACAGATAAACCCACTGCTGCTGAGTCGATTCGGGTTCATAGGAAGCCAATAGGGCAGAGGAGAGCTGCCCCACAGGGTTTCTTTATGGAAGCAGACCACCCTGCCAACCGGCTGATGGAAATGCAGATGTTTCGGTCAGCAGTCGAGTGCTTAACCACTGTGCCATCAAGGTTGCTTACCGTCCCGTTCGATGTCAGATACTGACAGCCAGAAAGTGCTAGGCAGGCTATAAAGCACAGGGCTCCAACCAGAGTTTTCAGGTTAGCAGGCAAGTAGGTGATCTTAAGTTTTATGTATTCGATAACTCAACTGTACATCCTGTCCTCCTACAAGTCGGGATAGGACCACTTTAGGGGAAGCTAATTGGCTGCTCAAAGCCGCAGAGTTAGGGGTAGAGGTCAGAAGCTGGGCTTCCTACTTCCTGGTTCCGAGCATTTGTATACTAAACTCTGGTTAGAATTTGTTAAGGTCCCCAAAGAATGAATGCCACTCATTTGTGAAGTAAAATGCAGGTAAAGGTACCTAGAAACAATACAAGGCCAACAGCAAATTGATGACTGACATTCCCTTTCTTCCTGTTGTGAGGAGAAATTATTCTTTTAAATCTTAGTCCTGACCACACTAACTGAATGCCTTGAGTAAATGAAAATGCGATTCTGCTGATACTTTTTCTCCTTAAGCAACAATAAAAACGGAATCGAAATCAATATACATGAGACACAGCGGTTAATGACAAGCCAACATCAAGTCTCTGACAAGCCAATGAAGCCTGAAGCCCTATTTTTTTTTAATGTAAAAGTGAACTTTTCCAAAATGTTGGAATAAAACGAAATTTAAGACTCTTCAGCCATGAGGATGGAAACAGACTATTATCTCATTCGTCGCCTCGCCCAGTTCTTGGGAGCCCATCCCCCAGGACATGAGATGAGAGAGCTCTGCTTGAGAGCAGCTTCATCTCTCGGTTTGTACAAAAATTGTAGCATCCCTCTCGACCGGTTCTGAACGGTTTGCGTAACCACCTGAAGTGGCCTCTAGTTGGTCCTGTGTCCAGATAAGCAGGGAAAACAGAATTAATGCCAATTAAATAAAACCCTCAAGTTCCAGGGTAACTCCGAGTGACTTATGAAAAGGTTAAGCAACCCTACGGATCTTTCAAGATCTACTCTCTTTATTGTCTACCTTGTACTCATGTACTAGCTGCCTGAAAAGACTGAAAACTGTTGGGGTCTTTGTCCCCTACTGAACTTCCTCCGTGTGGCACTAGCAGACATGAGCTCTTCAGTCAAATCTGCCAATAACGAGTGCCCAAACTACCATACCTTAATAACCTACTTACTGCTTCCAACGATGAGCTCCTTACTAGTTAGCGTATGGATGACACAAGCAAATGGCACAGAAACATCGACAGTTTACATCGCACAGGTAAAACAAGTTTATAACAACAATGTTAGACAATGACTGGCTTCTGACTTCCACCACCAAAGCGGTAAAAGCATTAAAGTAAAGAATGCAAACAAATGTTGCTTCCTTTTGAAAACAGGAAAGGAAGCAAGCAATTTGCATTGTCTCCCCTCCCCTCCCTTTTGCCTTCCAGAGGAGTGAGGGCAAAGGGGCTCACTTCATGTGGAAGTCATTTCCTCCGGCATGGATGCCACGTTCAATGGCCACACCACTGAGAATGCTGGGGTGGGCGTAGAGCACCCTTGCTAGCAGAAGCCAGCCTCCTTACCTGCCATCGCCCGGGCTCAGCCCCTGCTCCTGTGTGCCTACAGAGGAGGGGGCAGCCCCACCCCCTGTGCTGCTTTCAGCCCTAGAGCTCTGGGGAGAGGGCTCTGGGCCTGCAGGAGCCAAGGCGCTGCCATCTGTGGGCGGGAGAGGTGGCTGGAAAGCTGGGGAAATGTGCTTTCTATTTAGAGTGCCACCCCGCCGGTGGGCTTGGAAGTCCATAAGCTTCACACCAAAGCTACACAGAGAGAAGAAACAGTCAACACACCATGCGCACTGTTGACTAAGACAGAAGCCCATTTGGTCCATGTGCTAAGCCCACACATGGGGACAGCTACCCAAGGTGCCCAGCATGCAGTCAAGTAGCAATACCAACCCGGCTTTAAAACTGAAGGGAGCCCATGGACCTGGTACCGATCAATGTCCTTTACCAATTTGGTTGTAAGTGGCTGAAGGCAAAGGGGCAGACCCCAAGTGCCAACCTGTGTAATGGGCGTGAGAAGCGCCTCTCTAGCTCTCAGTGCAAGGGAAGGGGTGGGTGGGAGTGGGGGTGGGGGTGGTTGTGGTGGTGGTGACACTGTGACATTTCATCACACCCACTGCACAGGTTGGCATGGAAAATCACAAATCATATGTAATTTTGATCACCCTTGGAAAAATCCCACAAGTCACCCATAGAACATACTTCAGGGACCTGCTGATCCTAAGTTCAACATGGCCACGGTTCCCCTTCTGAATGAGAAACGCCTGAGGTTTCTACAGTTGAACATCAGATTCAGTACTTGGTGTCCATTTAGGAGCCAAGTTAGGCCCAAAATCTGTCTCATTAACATGAGGCGACTCGTGGTAGAAGTCAAGTTGGTCACATCTACTTTTCTCACACCCAACTGAGACTCATGGCTGTCAAGTCCATTCCAACTCACAGCAACCCTAGCAGACAGAGCAGAACTGCCCCAGGTGGTTTCCATGGCTGTGATCTCTATGGAAGCAGATTGCCACCTCTTTCTTCTGTGGAGGGGCTGGGGGTCCTGACCTGCTGATCTTTTGGTTGGCAGCCAATCATTCTAATCACTGTGCCAGCAGAGTTTCTTCGATCAAGTAGATGTAGGTGAATGTGAACATGTGTGTATGCTGCTGTTCCACTTGCAAGCATGTGATACAAAAGTTAACTGACAGGCCTCTTATTGACTTCAGGATCAGACTAAGGCTTGGAATAGATGAGAGTCGATTCTATCAGTCATGGATGCATGGCCACTCTCAAATTACAAGTCCACTGAGCCAGTACCAGGTACCAAGGGTTTAGCAATTAGTATACATGATACTCCTGCTGGCTTGAAAATGAACAGCTTGAAACACACCTCTCCTTCTTGACCAAGTCCCCTTCCATCACTGCCATGCTAGCAGGCCGCTTTCTCTCCAGAGTCCCCGAGTCAGAATCATTTCCAGCGTGGGATGAGTGATTGGAATTTGGGATGCTGAGAGGGGCAAATGTTCCTGATACGTTAAACTCGATCTCTGCAGGAAGAAAACAAACAAGTGCTTGAGACATAGAGAAGTCCCTAGGAGATATAAACGGTTTAGTGCCCAACTACTCCCCAAAGACTGGTAGCCTGAACCCACCTGGACGGGTCCAGGAAGACAAGTCTGGAGCTGTTTCCAGAAGGCCCCAGCCTTGAACAAGCACCCCACGGGGTGCAGCTCTACGCTGCCCGCCTGGGGTCACTGTGAGTCACATTGGACTCCATAGCAACTCGCAGCAACAACGTGGCGTTCCGCTTGAGAGTTTTAAAAAGACTACGTTGAAATACAGACCCCATTTATCGGTCTATCACCCCCAAATGATTCCGGCTCACGGTGTCGATCTATCAAATAAAAATAATAATAAACTCACTGCCACTGAGCGGATTCTGACCCATAACGACCCGCCAGGCCAGCGTGGAACTGCCCCTGTGTGTGTCCAAGGCTGTAACTCTTTACAGGAGTAGAAAGCCTCCCCCTTCTCCTGCGGAGCGGCTGGTGGTTTTGAGCTGCGGACCTTGCAGTTCACAGTCCAACGTGTAACCACTACACCACTGGGAGTCCTCAGTGACCCTAGGTCCTCACTATTTCACAGGTGAGGACTCGTTGATCAAGTACTCCCATCTTCTTAAGAGCAGTTTACCAGAACATGAGAAGGGTCATAGGAGAACTAGAGAGATGGGTTACGAATCAGAATATAAGTTTACGTAACTCTCTGCTTTCCCTTCTGTAGAGACCCAACCAACCAAAGGTTGGTGATAGAAGAGGACACCCAGCATCTTTATTATCAAAAAGTGATCAGCTTTATCTAAAAAAGGGCTAAGAAAAAAAATCAACTCTACACTGCCTATCGGTAGGGTCACTATGAGTCGGAATCAATTCGAAGGCGGTGAGTTTCCAGGAACTAACTGCCTCTAGAAGTTGTTTCAAGAGTGATCTCGTCCACAGACGGCTCGGACAGGAGGCCAACAGTCTTTCCTCTCCCACCTCTTGGTGGCGCGACCTCTGTGAGTTGGGCAGGGTTCTTGGTGAGGGGTGGACCATGGTGAAGACAAAGTCAGCCCAGCTCTCGCAGCACAGAGCTGATTCTCCAGTGGGCGAGATAGCAGGGCTCTGGTTTAAGCAGGGGGGGGGGAAGCCCCAACTCCCAAACACTTGTCCGACCAACCAGTGCTCCTAAAAGGCTCCATGGGAATCACGGAGGATCCCAGGATTGCAACACAGTCTGAAAATGGATCGCCTACAGGAAGCGCTAGTTCCCTGAATAGCCCATTCGGATCTTCAGAAATGGGCCTAACCTGCCTTTCAGCTTTATCTCCCGCGTCTGCACACATCTAAGTAACCAGTGGGGACTCTTCCAAGTACGACTTGTGTCCGCTCAACAGCATCTCAGTGCTTTTCTCTAACACCTGACTGGCTGCATCCCTATTTCCCTCCCCTTCTAATTGTCTACGCTGTCATTTATTAGAATGTATCTGTCTATGTGGCCTTTGTCGCTAGTGGCCAAATTCCTCCGTGTCTTCTCGGCAAAACATTTGGTATACAGAGGGCATTCAGGAAATACTCGGTGAGCGGGTGACTTGACTGTTCAGTGCGAGAAAGCGGAATACAAAGTACTATGGTTACCGTTAGTCAAAGGATAAACACTAACAGAACTGGAAAGAAACAAGAGTCACACCGACCATGCAATCGTGAAAAGATTACGGTGTGTTTTCTTCTCAAAAAGACTTACTGAGCTATTACATTGTTGCCTTGGCAGACAAGGAAAACAGAAGAAAATTACCTTCGGGGAAGAACCAGTCAGCGTGCTGAATGATAGGTTCAATGACGGCCACCACATGAACGGATGTAGCTGCTGCCATCTCAGCAAGTGTTCTGCGAAGGAAGTTCATAAAATGAAAACACTTTGCCCAGGCCGGCTCGAACTGCTGCAGGTTGTATCAGAGCAGTGACATGGTATCGAAAGGATAACATTTAAGTATAGATGCAAAAATGAAGTCTGTAAGGTTCTGGTTTATGAATATGGCAGTGATCACCCCCACAAAAAATGACCCCAATTTAGTTATCAATCCTTAATCTACACCAGTGGTTCTCAACTTTCCTAATGCTGTGACCCTTTCATACAGTTCCTCATGTGGGGGTGACCCCCCCCACCCTTAAATTTTTTTTTTTGCTTCTTTCTTACTTTTCTTTTTGTTCTTTTTTTGATTCGGGGACCCCTTTTGAAGGGTTTTTTCGCCCCGGAAGGGGTCGCGACCCACAAGCTGAGAACCGCTGATCTACACTGATTACAGCTAGCATCCATAACACACAGGCAGTCATGAGCAGCTGTCACCAGTATGCAAGTCATATATCAAATCATTGGTTTTGAATCTGTTTGGAACAAAGGTGACATTTCCCTATTTGTACAACTACTTGTGATAGTTACCTTCTGAAGCCCAAGACCACACACAAAAAAAAGTTGCCTGTATTATAAACAAGGACATCCAATGTGCCAAGAAGATTCAGTTCAATGCATCCTAATGTTTATGGTAGCAGAAAACCCATGTCTGAACGTTTACACTTCTGGTTGTTAGGGATGTGCACTGGTCCCAGGGTGAGTGTCTGCTGCCAGGCCTCAGAATCAGTCTCACTCTGTACCCGTAAGGAGTTCCTGTTCCAGTTGTCCATCGGAACATCTGCCAACCAACCTCCCAAGGGCCAACACCCGCTGACTACCATACTCCAGTTCTCTGCTTCCCGGTCTTCACCCTGTTTATCTTTTCAACAACCTGTTATGAGGCTTATTCTACAGATAAGGAGTATGGATCCTCAAGAAACTTGACCCTAGGCCTCACTGTCTCACCTTGCGCTCTTTCTACTATCTCACTCTGGCCTCTTTTCCCACCAGAACAGGTGTTTCCACTCCATTTTCCAAGCAAGCAGGATGTCCGGGTTGCTAGGCAAGCGCGCTCCACGTAGGTTACCTTCCCCACCCGCTTACACCCTGCCATCGGACTCCTGTTACTCATAATGCCTTTTCGTTTTTTCTTTTAGAGGGAAGTTTATTGATTTGCAAGTCTTTGAAAAACAGATGCTGCAGACTGTGGTGGGAACCTTTCCTTGTTTTGGAGTGTCTATGATTTAAAGTGCTTTTTGGCATATAGAAGTTTGTCCCTGTTCCATGAGCTGGCTTTAGCAAGTTTGTGGACAAATTCTATTATGCTTTAATTCCATTTCTCCATGAACTTTCTGCAGCCTTCATGTAGAGTCAGGTCATTCAGTTTTAAATGTATTGTTTACTGAAGTCTTTATGCCTAGAAGAGATTTCTTTATATTGAAAGCTAGCAAATAGATACCAGCAATGTTCATGGCTTCACTTTTTACACCAAACTATTTAGTCTACTGGGATTTTATTTCACAATATAAGATCCTGGGTTTCTATGTCCGTTTATCTTTAATTTTCCTTTATGGCATTGGATTTCATAAGTAATCACATAAATACCCCCTGCAACAAGACTGAGCATACAGGAATGAGTGAAAGGAAGGGTGGTATGAAGTTAAGAAAGGGCAGAAGGAAGGAGAGGAAAGAAGACTGATTCAAAGCATCACTGTGATGGCTACAGGGACTTCAACTGCTTGTGAACTGACAAAGCTGAATAGCAGTAACGGGAGGCCCGGCACAGCCAGCGACACAGACTTTGCAGCCAGCACCTTGGTGTCACCCCTTCCCTGCTGCGCAACACGAAGCAGGTTACTTGACGTCTCCAGGACCCAATGCCATCATCTGCAAGGATGAGGGCAATTGCACTTACATTAACGGGCTCTCTGGGAAGATGAGAGAGAATCGGAGCGCAGCAGCAGAATAAACACTCCAGCAATGTTGGTGATTTCCCAGAAGCTTTCTCACTGAGCTCCTCCCTGACCTCTCTCTATTCGGTCGGCACTTCTCAAGCCTAACACATTTATCTTTCCAAAGTGCAATCTGATGAAATCATTCTTCTCCTTAGAAACTTTGATGGCTCGCTTATGATTCATAAAATAAGTCCTAAACACCTCAGTACTATATTTGAGACCCTTTACAACCTGCTCCTAGTCTACTCGATTGTAGCTTCACAACCCTGCACAATATACAAGAGTAGGTAATGTCCCCTAAAATTCAGACAGGTCCCTTAGCCGGAAGCTCTGAATTCATTAAGGTGCAGCTTAGATACCATTTCCTATCTACTGATTTCGCTGAACTGCTCAGCCTGAATGACATTCCTTCACCTGTTTTCCCATCATACGTTATGATGTCTGTGGTATCCTATGTGTGTGTGTGTATATATACATATCTGTATCTTATGATTGTCCTATAGTGGTTGATCTACCTTACTTACTGCCTAACACTGGGGGTCTTTGAAGACTGGGTCAAGGTCTCAGACATCTCTGCATGCCCATATTGCTCAGCTCACAGTTCTAAGAATATGGCTGAGTGAAAAAAATCAACCTCAGAACATCTTGGGAGTGTATCTTCAACTAGAACGTGGACTTTGGATTATGTTCCTCCTCCTTCTGTCAAACGGAAAGAAGACACTAAAATAAGATGATATGAAGAAAGCTTACTTACCCTTCATTTTTGGCCCATAGCAAGTTAGGGCCTAAGACAATTGCAATATTGCTGGGAGTCATTTTATTAATATCACTGGTCTGAGCAAGCTTTGCAAGGAACTTGATTAAATACCTGTGAGACAAAAGGGAAGGGGAGAAAAATATCCACTCTATAATATTTGCAGAAATATTATTCTTAGTGTCCAGGTGCTCAATCCCAGAGTGCCTAGGGACTAACTGCAGTGTGTTGCTGAATCAGAAAGTGTTTCAGGTTAAATATTTTACAAATTTCTTTTATCTCAACAATTTAGAATCTCTATTTGCTATATATTTCTAATCTACTTTCCTTTATGTCCCATCTATTCTACCCCTATGTAAATGTGTGAATAATAAAGAAGCCATATATATATGTCATTTTATTGGGGGCTCTTACAGCTCTTATCATAATCCATACATACATCCATTGTGT